GGCTTAAGGAATGTTTGGTCTTCTACCCAGACCACTCAAACTTTCTCCGTATCAGCAGTAAAGTTGTTTTCTTATCATTCATATGTTCACTGGAGTAGCACTTTTGATTTCCTTCAAGAACTTTGCCTTTGCCTTCGCAACTTGGCTGTCTGGTACATGAGGACTAATGTTCGGCCTCTCTCAGCTTTCCACAATCCTTCCTTAATAAGCTTAATCATTTCTAGCTTTTGATTTAAAGCGAGAGACTTGTGATTCTTCCTTTCACTTGAACACTTAGAAGCCACTGTAGGGTTACTAACTGGCCTGATTTCAATACTGTGTCTCAGGGAATAGGGAAGCCCAAGGGGAGGCAGAGAGAAGATGGAATGGTCAGTGGAGCAGTTAGAACACACACAACAATCAATTAAGCTCACTGTCTTATATAGGTGGGGCTCGTGGCACCTCAAAACAATGAAAATAGTAACATCAAAGATCACTGATCACAGATCACCATAAAAAATATAATCATAATGGAAAAGTTTGAAATATTGTGAGAATTACCAAAATATGACACAGAGACACGAAGTGAGCAAATGCTGTTGGAAAAATGGCACCCATAGACTTGCTTGATGCAAGGTTGCCACAAACCTTCAATCTGTAAAAAAAAAAAAAAAAGCACATCTGCGAAGTGCAGTAAAGCAAAGCACAATAAAACAAGGTATGCCTGTAAATTAAACTCCTCTATTTAAAAAAAAAACAAACAGGGGGCCCCACAGGCAAGGAGAGTTTGAAGTCCCAACTCACTCTTCACCTGGGCTTCTAAGGCCTCTCTGGTGTGACAGCTTTGTGGGCCCACTTCAGTCCCCCCACCCCCAGTGCCCTTCTGCACTTTCTTTGCTCACCATCTACCCATCAGCCCTGTGAAGCTCTCGGTCCAGCTTGGGCCACTCTTCTCCAAGAAGCCCACCACAACCACTGGGGCCCACCACGGTGTTCAAAACCACTCCAGGGACGCCTGGGTGGCTCAGTTGGTTAAGCGACTGCCTTCGGCTCAGGTCATGATCCTGGAGTCCTGGGATCGAGTCCCGCATCAGGCTCCCTGCTCAGCGGGGAGTCTGCTTCTCCCTCTGACCCTCCCCCCTCTCGTGCTCTCTCTCTTTCTCTCTCTCAAATAAATAAATAAAATCTTAAAAAAAAAAAACAAAACCCACTCCAAACTACTTCCCAGGTGCCAGTGAAAGCTTCCTGAAGATTAAGTGGCCTTTTTATCTCTCCCAACTTTTTTTTTTTTTTTTTTTGGCGAGTGCTTAGCAGAAGAGCAGGTTCACAATAAAACCTGGGCTCACAAAACCTGGCCTCCAAAGGCCTTCCTTGTATTCTAAGAGGAAGCCCCTTATCCAGACCCTGTGAATCAATTATTTCTGAAAATGTTTACTGAACATGAGAGCAATACAGTGCTGTTAAGAAGGCCTCCTAGCCTGCCAGCAAGCCAAAGCGGGGCCCTGGGGCAGGACTTGGCTGACCATTCTCTGGATGGGAGAAGGGGCAGCGTAGCCTCAGCCTGGGATGTCAGGGCATCTCTGGCTCGGGCCCACAGACCTGCCAAGTGACTCCATTCAGCTCATTTGGCACCTCATCCTTGGCAGGCCTTAGCAACAGTGAGCAAAACCATCAAAAGCACTACAACAGGGATCCCTGCTATGGGAGTCAGGAGAACAGAACCTTCCCCAAGGAAATGAGGTGGGAGCAGAGTATTAGGAGGGGAAGGGGATCACTGGTCAGAGAAGGAAGCAGGGAGATTCCAGGTCAAGGGATCAGCTTCAGCGAAGGCACAGGCCGACTACTCTCCCAGCATGGGCAGTCACAGATACTAGCTGGTGGGATTCCCAGCAGAAGGATCCTAGGCTGCCCAGCCCGGGCTCTGAACGATCCCAGACCCGCAGCTTCCTTCTAGGTAACTGGGTAACTGATATGCCAGCAGCAGCTGCTTGCCTGTCAACTCACAGCAGGTGCTGGGCACTGCAGTTTTGATGTTCAAATATGGGGGAAAGAAATTCCAGAAACCAAACATGATTGTCCTACATACTTCCCCACCATTAAACAGCAAATGCAAAAGAAAGACAATCTCCAGGATCCCCACAGGCTATCCCCACGTGAAGCCATGTCAGCCTGGAGGGAGCTCTCTGCAGATGGGAAACAGATTCAAGGGATCACGGTGCTGTTATCTCCCACTGAGGGGTGCTACAACCTCCAGCTCAGCTCTGGGGCATGCGCTTTGAGAGGGAAAGGCATGATGAACTAAAGCCGATCCAGAGAAGCAATCAGATGGAGGAGGTTCTTAGAACCACATCAGAGGAAGGACAGCTGATGGACGGCCCTAGAGGTATTTCTCTTGGAGAACAGAGATGTGTGGAAGGCAGGAGCTGACCCCTTGAAGAGAGAGGAAGAGAGATTATCTTGCTGTGTTGCACCCACCCCGACCCTCTAGTCCTGCAGTTACCACATCATTGTGAAACCACCTGCTTATAAATCCTCACCCGTCCTGAAAACCACAGCTCCCTGAATGAAACCTGTGCGTGAGTCACTTCTGAGGCACCAGCAACTAACTGGCGGCCAGGACACAGCAAATGCTGAACTGAAAACAGAAACGACAGGAAGGCCTATTGTGGCTCAAGAAAAGGAAGTGCTTTCTAACAATCCCAGTTACCTACAGCAGGCCAGGATGTTTGGGAGGAAGCATACTATCAGAGAAGGGTCTGGAAGCAACAGAATACCCTCATGCTGGTAGGACTAAATGGCCCCCTGAGGTTTCTTCCAATTCTAGGACCCCGCCTCCTGAAGCAGTGAGGGGAGCCACAAGCAGAGGAGATACACCGACATGCCAGGCACACACATCCAGTCCCTGTCTTGTAAACCCTCACAATCCCGTGAAGTAGGCACTATTATAATTCTCATTTTACAGTGGAGGAATCCGAGGCTCAAGAAGGTTCAGTAACTTGCCAACGCCATAAAACCAGTAGGAGGGAGAAGTGAATGGCAAACCAAAACCACCAGGCTGCCCACCTGGGCTGAGAGAGAACATCTGCCCTTCTATCCACACGGTGGGCAGCTCCAGCCCTTTGCAGCTGGTGGCTCTCCAAGGGCAATAATATTAACTGGCTTCATCTCCCCCCGAGGCCAAAATTTTTCCAAAAGCATTTTTACATCCATAAGCCCAAGAGCCCACTGCCACCATACCCAGCTCTAAGGCAACAGAATTGGTCTAGGGCCATCTGTCCTGTGGGAGCCTAGGGGCTGCCCTCTCCTCCTAGACTCCAACCAATAACACAAGATGCAATGGGAAGGGGTTGGGGAGGCTCTCCTGAAGGAGGCAACATCTGAGCTAAGCCTTCAATGACGAACCGGACAAGGACAAGCGAGGGGGCAGTGTGGGGCAGCAGAGGGGAAAGGGCATTCCAGACGGAGGAAACAGGAGCAAAGGCGGAGAAGCAAGAAGTGTGTGGAGAATCACAAGCAGTTTGGGTTGCCAGAACATAAAATGCAAATTGAACAGTGGAAGGACACAATGATCAAAGAGATAAGCAAGGGCTGCTAAACTGCGAAGGACTTTGAATGCCACGTTAGGGAACCTGAACTTGATTTATCCTGAGGGCAATAAGGAGCCACGGAAGGGTTTTAGGCATACCGGTGATAAGAGTAAACCTCTCATATTAAGGAAGATCACTGTGGTAGCCATACCAGAGGCTGAGCTGCTGGCAGTGAGACTGGAGGGCGGAAAGGCCATGTGAACTACAGCAGGGAGAGACATGCTGGGCTCAGTACCTTAAGCCTCCTCTATGATAATTCCCTGTCGGGGCCAAACTTTCCATTCTCTGGGCCCCCAATCCAACTCTCATTGCAGGCCTGCTCTACAGGCTACTCATTTTGTGGAGTCTCCCACACAACTGTCTTTAATGATACGACTCTAGAGAGGAGTAATGCTAATCATTATATTTACTCCATGCCAGGCACTATGCTGGGTCCTTTACACAAATTACCTCAGTTGTGCAACCAACAGCCCTGGAAGGGAGGTTACTATCGGTAGCCTCGTTTTGCAAAGGATCTCAACCGACTTCTACCTGACGGCAGATACCGCTCGGTTCACCCCTGCCAAGGAGAGTGGGAGGGATGAGTCCCGTGTCCCGGGCTTCTACAAGGACCCCCGCGAAAACAGTGGGTGGAAAATAATGGTGGGTCTCCTAGCCACAACCGCCGAAGAGAGGCTGGAAGTGGGAAGCCTGAGCCCAAAGGAATCAGGACAGCCCCTGCCCTCGGCAGCCTTCAGCTGCGAGGAGAGAAACGAGGGCACGGACCTGAGAGCTCCAACTAAATAGGCAGAAAAAGCCCCAACAGAGCCGAGGCCGCAGGGAAGGGGCGGGGCTCGGACGCCGGGGAGACCACTCCGGGGGCGGGGCTTGCACGGGGGTGGGGCTCTGTGGGCCCGACCAAGTCTAGGACCTGCGGGACCCCGTGAGGGGGCGGGTCGCGAGAGGGCGGGGCTCCGAGAGGGGCGGAGCCACAGCTGTGCTTGCGACCCACAGACTCGTTAGGTTACCTCCCCACGATTGGACCCGACCCTCGTTCCATACCCTGGCTCCAGCAGGGCTGATCCGGGATCTCGATGGTGTAGTCCAGCTCAGCCGAAGCCATGGTGAAGGCGCCAGCCCTCAGCACGAGCCTCCGCCGGAACTCCCGCTCGCGCGCCCGCGCCTCACCCAAGAGCCTCCCGGGCACCGCCCAATCACCACCCACCTCTCCCGTCGCTGCCCAATCCCTGAGCGGCGCTCTGTGACCTCCCGTCCTAGCAACCGCCGAGTCTCTCTCGGAGCCTCTCGCGGCACCCCACGGCTCGGCCCTAGCAACCATGCCCCGCCCCGTTCTAGCCCTGCTTCGCAGGCACTGGCTGACTCGCGTGATCTGGGTCAGGTATTGGTCAACCAGGACGCCGGTCGGGAAGAGTCCCCACCCTCCCGTGTAGGTAAGAGGGTCTGCGGGAGATTTGCGGTATTCTGGAAACGGGAAGGTCTCCCTTTCCCACCGTGTCTTATCCTACGGGGTGGACGGCAGTGCCCTTTGATTTACATCATCTCCTACCTCTACCATCCTTTACCAGACGCAGCTCCGAGGGCTGGAGGTAGAAAAACGTACAAAACGGCCTAGGGGACGCGTGCCAGCCCATCCTCCATACAATGGGTTGAGGCACATTCTTGGCTGGTGGGGTGAGTGGCAGGCAAGGGAATGGTGTCTTCAGGGGAAGATTCTAGAGAATGTTCTGTTCGTGGGGGACACAAAGGGGCTAGAGAATACAGTTTTCTTGCATTTAACCATGTATTTAACAAATACTTACTAAGCACCTATTATGTAGGTGAGAGCTAGTGAAGATTAAGCTTTTGGCCATGACTTCCATAAGTCTTAAAAGGAGAGGGAGAGAAATCATGCATTAACCAACTCTAATTCTGTGCGAGGGATAAATACTACAGAAGAATAGGCCGTAAGCATTTTAGGGGCTCAGAAAGTGTTGAACGGTTGCATTTATGATAATGGGGATGTGTCTTGAGCTGGGCCTTGAAAGACTTATGGGGATATAGAGGACAAAGGAATCCTTGCAGGAGCTCAACGAGGGGAAACTGAGGGATGAGTGCCAGAAATTTTGAGTGTCTTCTGGTCAGAGGAGATACTAATGTGAGAGTAAACGTGGAAGAAAAGTTAGGCCCAGACCCTGGAGGGTCTTTGATGTCACACTCAGCTTTGAGTTTATAGGTAGATGGTAAAAATTTTCCAGTGTGTTTTATACCTATAAGCGCAAGAGCTCAGACTTTAACCTGAGGACAGTGGGGAGTCATTGAAGGGCTTTAAGCAAAGGAATAAAGATCAGATTTGCATTTTAGAAAGATCAATGCAGAAAATGGATTGGGGATTGGGAGAAGGAGGGAGACTAGTTAAGAAGTTGTTTCAGTAATGGGGAAAGGTTATGGTGGCCTAAAGAATGGAGAAGTAGCAGGAATGAAGAGGAGGGGATGTATTCCTTAGATACTTGTGAGCTAAAAAGAACTGGACTTAGTGCCTGGTGGGGCAAGTAGGAGAAATGAAGAATGACTTCTAAATTCCTGGCTTGAGCAAACAGAAAGAAGAGGTAGCAGGGTTTTTAGGAGAGAGTAAGTTCTGGCTCCGATGAGTTTGAGATGCCAGTGGGACATCCACGTGGAAGTGTCCAGGAGGTTGGAATATGCCTGACTGGAGCTTGCAAGATAAGCCTAAACTGGAAATAAAAATGCGATGGTCTAGTGCCTTATATACATCAGCCACACCAGTGGATGGATTTGTTGGGCTTCCCAGAGAGTATAAATAGGAGTAAGAAGAGAAGAAGGCCTAGGACAGAGCCCTGAGAAGCCCCCAAGTCTGACGGTCTGCAAAGCAGGATGAACCTGCAAAGTTAATTGAGATGAAGTGTCCAGAATGGTAAGATAGTCAGTGGTGGAATGTGGTGTTTCGGAAGCCATGGCACGGAAGTGTTGAAGGCTGATGACTAATCAAGTAGAATAAGGTCTGAAAAAAATCCAGTGGATTTAGAAACAAGGAAGTTGTTGGTGACCTTTGCAAATACGGTTTCGGTGGAGCGATGGGAACAGAGGTCAAATTACAGTGAGTTGAGAAGCAGGTGGAAGGTGAGGAAGTGAAGACTGTACAATACACTTTCGAGACGTTTGGCTCTTTCCGAGAAAAAAGAAGGCAATAGCTGGAAGGAGACAAAGGTTTTTATTCAGATGAGAGAAGTGCTGTTGGCATGGACCCAGCAAAAGGAAAAAAGATAAAAATGACAGAGAAAAGGAAATAACAGAGAGTAGCACCCCTGGAAAAGGAATAAGGTCAAGGATCCAAAGCATTGGTGGAGAAATTCACCTAGAAAAGTGGAGGGACACTCGCATTGTGACAACAAGGAAGCATGTGAGATCTGTATATTAGTAGGTTTGGTGGCAGGAAGTTGAGGAAATTCTTGTTTGGTAGTTTCTGTTTTCTCTCTGAAATGCATGATGTCAGCCAGGGAGAATGGGATTGGAGATGGTGTGCAAGGTCTGAGAAGAGCAGAGAAGGATTGAACTAGCCTCAGTGAAGTGAAGAATGGGAGCAGGATGACTGAGGCAGTGTACAGATTTCTGGGCAGTTATGAGGTTGGTGACCATTCACTGTAGCAGCAGCAATCTGCCTGGTTGTGTGGGAGGTATTTTTCCCCCAGCAGTATTCAGGCATCTAGTGGTGGGTGCAGAGAGCTTAGTTGAATCTATCCAGGTTTGGGTTTCATCAGGCGGATGAAATGGAAGGACAGAGGACAAGGAAGTGGATGATCCTGGCAAAAGGTTGAGATGTTGGAGCTTAGAACCTAAACTGCCTAAGAGGGTGTAAAAGTGTTATGGACTGGGGGTCCCAGTGAAGTTAGAGAACATAGATCTTGGAAAGAGTTGAATGAGAGAGGTGTGATCAGAAAGTGGAATAATGAAGTGTGAATAGTTCCAGGTGATGACAAGGTCCAGGGTGTAGCCATGGGAATGGGTGGCTGGAGTGAAATACAGAAGACAAGATGTTGACATGGCCAGCCCCCCCGCCCAGATGATGACAGGACTTGAGGAGGGAAAAGGATGCTTGTGAACTAGATACCAAAGTCCTGGATGAATTAAGTACATTGTTCTGGAGTCTGTAGGCAATGATATGAATATGAGGAAGGGTAATAGTCAATACAGCAGAGTGGCATGACCCTCAAAGTAGTAAGAGTTTTTACAGGAAAGAGGTGGAATAAGGAACTGGGTTGGGCTTTGGTGAGCAGACACTAGACCCCCTCCCCCGCCCGCCAATCCTGAGATCTTTGGGGTATAAGAGTATAAGCAGCCTCCACCAGGGAGGGCTCTGCAGAAGTAGCACCTGGGGTAGAGCCAGCTTCAGGGGCAGGCTGAGGGGAGGCAGGGCAGCTGCGGAGAAGCTAAGGGTGGAGGAGACTGCTGATTGGGAACAAAGGCCTTTGAGGGCAGAGTAAGAAGGGGTAGGAAATCAGGTCATGGAAGGTGAAGCACAGAGCAGTGCAGGGGTGAGGAGAACATGTGTAGAAAGATGATGGTTGACCTAGACAGTTAACGTTTTGTGGGGGAGAGCATGAGGGCAGGTCTGTGGAGCGGAGTTGGGGGCAGAACTGATCTGAGAGGAAAAGTGGGGTCTGGTAGAGAGTGAGGGTAGGTCTGGGGAGAGGATGAAGGCAGAGGGCTTTGTAGGAGGAAGGTGGGAGGGGAGAAAGGTGGTCTCTGGGGAGAGGATGGAGGGAAAGGCAACTGTGAGGAAAAGATGGGGCACCTAGAGTCTGTAGGGAAGTGATGGGTGGTTGGAAGGATCTGTGAAGAAGGTATGACGGGGGAGCAAAAAGGAAGGGAATCTATGAGAAGGAAGTGACCAATTGTAGCACATATGCCCTGAGGTAGCAGTAAAGGCCAGGACAGTCTCTGGCTGGACCTGAGGTCAGAAGGAGAATGTTTCTTTCTCTGTCTCTCTTCTCCTTCCCTCTCTCTTTCCAAATGGGGAGCTGAGAGGATGGAGCCCAAAGAGAAGGCCTCTGTCCCATTCTGCAGGTGGAGCCTGCAGGAATAGGGGACAGTGACTGCCTTGTCTCCGAGGCCATCTGGGGACAGGGAGCCAGACGGGCAGCCCATGCCCTGGAGGCTTCTTGCTTTGAGAAGTGTGTCTTTGATTTAGGGGGAAAAAAGCCCTCTGAGAAATTTTATTTAGAAACAAGACCAAGTGACCTTTTGGTTTTTAATACCTCTTCCCACTTGTCACTAAGGACTTTTGACTTTAGTACAATAGCTGGGGTTTTTGAGGTTTTGTGATTTTAGTTTCCGTGCATGAGGAAGAACCATTTGTCTGCTATAGAAATGATTTATGGATGAGTCCAGATTTATTCATCACCTCTAAAAATGGAGAGGAAATTAAAAACAAAGAGTCTACTCTGGGCGGAAGACAGAGTAGGTTTGTCGTCCTTGCAGAAGACTTTGCCAAGGTGAAAAGGCCACAAACAAACCAATTTGGACCACGGTTCCTAATCTGGATTTTAATTTCATATGCTTTGATTTTTCAGACCATTTTCTCTCCAAGGTAAAAAAATTACTATTTTAATTGGCTGCCACTTACAGAGAGATTCCAATAAGCATGATGGCATACGTATATTTTTCTCTGGCATTCCATGTGTGCTCCAGTTCTTATGATCAAGCTGGTGAGGCTGACTTTTACTGCATGCTGCATGCCATGATCAGTTGACTATAAATTAAATCCTCTTTTCCAAAAGCCATTTTCCATTAGTGCTAATTTGTTTGCTTCTCATTTCCACTGATCATTAGAGTCTCTGGTTGTGAGCACCAAATTGGAAATAATTTCCTTGACATTTCAAAAAAATCTCTCCCCTTCTTGAATGCCATTTGGCTGCAGCTAAAGAACATTATGGTTTGCAGAGGAACAGTTCACTCCAGTTACAATTTAACTGACCGTTCATGGCACTGAATCCCTGTCCTTAGTGTCCAGAGATGACACCATCGCTGACATTGCTATTTCCTGTCATAGCTGTAAAATGCCTCATAGACTTTGCACTGGCCTTCTTGGATGGAGATTCTGCCACTCTGCACATGGCAGCTTTGGGAAGTTGGTAGTTTTATGGACCTACATATCATGGACATTCAGATATAACCATCCAAACAGGAGCTGGCTGATTCCTTCATCCATTCACCCAGGAAGCATTTATTAAACACCTATTTTGTGCCAGGCATTATGCCAGACCCTGGGGACACAAAGATAGGGAAGACCAACCCCTGCCCTTGAGGAACTCACACTCCAGTGGGATGGAGGGTTATGTTTTACGCAGAGTAGGGGAAGAGGTGGCATAGGTGGGACCACAGAACCGACAGCCCCTCGTTGTCTCGGGGAATTAGCCAAAGGGCAAAAAGGAAGCTGGCCATTCTTGATGGCAGAGCAACACTGAGATGCAGAGGGCCCTGGAAGGGCCCTGGGAACTTGAGAAGTGAGATGCAGTTAGCCTGGGGCCAAGTTTGAAGGGCCTTGTATGCCACACGGTGTTTAGACTATCCCGTAGGCCAGTGGGAGAAA